TTGCGGAAATTTGCTGAGATTTTCGGCAAGGTGGAGACTGCCGGGGCTTCCCTTCATGGAAACCAAATTAGAAAGATAGAAATTTTGCATTTACTTTACTACAAACATGTAAATTAAAATACAATGTATACATTATACATACTTTTTAAATTAATAGCATTATATATTTTAAGCGTTTTCACTTTGGGTAGAATACGTTGCCTTTTTTACAAGTAGTGTACATGATTACATTTACATACTAGATTTCAAATTAATAACTGTTCATTAATTACTGTTTAATTATACTTGCTCTATATACACACATGTTTTCTTCATATATTAATTAATACGTGCTTGCCTGCTTAACTTGCTTGATTACTTAATTACTTATTCACTTATACAGCCGACTTACTTCTATTATAGTCTATTCAGCGGAATTTCGTTAACTGGCGGATTATTCTTTGCTGGGAAATATTTTTTCTTGAGCAACTGGTAATTTCTTCGTGTGAAGACAAACGCAATACCAATGTAGGCACCAGTAAGCAACGCTACAGTATACAACGCTATCTTTATCTCGAAATCAAAATCCACGATTCTAGATATGAAGAGAGGAAACCAATAACTCAAGGCAAACGCTGTAGTGGCTGACAGCTTGAGCAATATGACAAATTTACGACGCCTAACAATATTCGATTTCTGTGCAATGTTCCTGCTTGCCTTGAGTTTTTGGCGAATTCGATAAGCAGTGAGGATGAACATTCCAATAATGTACAACAAAAGACAACCTTGAATACCATATACATCAACAGCAGCTGACCAATCGGGAGTAATTCGACCATTGATACAATCTCCAGAGATCTGTTGATAAATCCTTGCATCATCTTCCTTCCCATTTCCATTCGCAAATACAATGCGTTCATAAAACTTTAAGCTTGACCGAACATCTTTCTTCAAAGATACAACAGGTTGATAAATCTTTGCATCATCTTCCGTCGCATCTTGCTTCCCAAATACAGTGCTTTGATTAAACCGTGACTGGGCATCTTCACGTACAGTGTCAGTGCTTCGATTAAACCTCGACTTTGACCGAAGGACATCTCCCTTCAAGGATGCAATACGGTGATAAATCCCTATATTATTTCCATTCGCAAGTAAAATGTCAATGTGTCGATAAAATCTTTTTGATTGAACATCGTTCTTCACAGACGCTATAGGTTGATCTAACCTTAGAACATCTTCCTTTGCTAGTACAATATAAACAATCGTTATAATGACAGGAACTCCCCAGCTAAAGAAACTATACTTCAAAAACCTGTTCCACTTCTTCAGTTCATCGGATTTCACTAGAGTATTGCCACAAAATGTTTTCCTTAAGTGATAGATATTAACAGCAGCATTCATAATTATACTATACGTCATAAACTTATTTGCCACAAACAGCCTAGCACACCATATCTCAAACAGTTTACCTACATGAGAATACAGTGACAAAAATACTACAAGGTAAGTCTGCCACAACAGCAAGGCAAAGCTAAAACTCATTAAATTCAAACCAGGAAGTGTGCGCAGTTCTGGAAGCATGCAGTAAACTATCAACAACAATAGCAAAGAAATAATAGAAAGTGCTAAAGCACATAATGGTGCTATAATAATCTTAAAGTTCGTAATTACGTATATTGGTCTTAAGTTTTCTTTGCCGCATACATAAGGTTTACCGTCTATCACCGCATAGTCATTTCGTTTGAAATATTGACCGTTATCTGCCGAATACACAGCAAACTGCTTTGTCACAGTGTAGTATCTTGCATTTAATGTATAAGAACGATAACAGGATGCGGGTAATGACTTTTGCCACGAATTTCGCGTTCTCCAAATCGCCTGAACTCTTGAATCATTGGAACCACACATTTGAAGACTGTTGCGACTTAATCTATATTCGCGATAATCGTATATTTTGTTGTGGTAAAACAGCGAAAAGTTTTTAAAAACATTGTATTGTTCACCGTACTTTACTTTGACCAAATCATCATTGCAGGACAATCTGAGCTTTCTTGAACAAATTGCAAAATACCCCATAATTACTCCGTAATCTTGCCTTGTAAAATTTTGATTGGTAGGTTTGAAGAAAACAGTAAAGTTTGTATGTAATGTGTAATTTTCGGAGTAAAAACCGTCCACCAATACATTACACTGTTTGAAAGCTATCGTTATCTTTTCCGAAACAATGAAATTCCGCCATTTTTCTTTAATGAGACGGTCAGAAGAATTACAAACATGTAGACCATCATCCGTTATTTTGTACTCATCATAAGAGTACATTCGACCTTGGTACATCATTGAGAAGTTGTTCCATACTCTGTATTCATCTTCATATTTTATAGTAAAGGTAAAATTGGCGCATTCGGTCACACATGTCATAAGTTTACCTTTATATACAGCATAATCGTACTTTGTTATCAGCTGCTTTGTTGCCAAAATGCGAACTCTAAAATCCTTGAGCACAGTGTATTGCCATTGGGAAAAGAGAAAGTATACAGCGAGTTTATTGCAACTTCTTTGCATTGCCCCCTTTACCAACTTATTGCGTTCTTTCCATTTCTTCTGTAGGTAGTTATCAGTGGAGTTACAAATCTTTATGCTGTCATTCAAAACACGATACTCAGTATAATCGTACACCTTGTTCTTATAGAGTATTGAAAAGTCAGTCTGAACTTTGTATTGATCATCGTATTTTATACTGATGATTGAATCGTTGCACACTGATAGATCTTCCTGGGTATACTCAGATTTCGAATCAATTTCACGTCTGCTCCGGAGATGTTGAGTTGTGAGTGAAGAGGACGTTTCTCTTTTTTCTGTTTCTCTCAGGTCATTCTCGTGAAAAATTTGATTTTCCAATGAAGATATATTTTTACTGCCATCGTTTAGCCATTCTGTCTCATTTGAGAGGGAGATGGTTGTTGATTCTTCGCGTGGAACGTTTACCTCTGACGGCGATGAAGTTGAAAAAGGCAGTACTGGACTTTTTTGTATTCTTTCATATCGGAGTGTCTTCATCGCAGTTCCTAAAAATAAATTATAATTAACAATTACTTCTTCTGAAGTGCTAACATTCTCACATTTTCAAAATTTACCTTTTCTAACCATCTTTGAAAGATTAGTCTTCTTCCGCGCCTTGCGGCCATTGATTTGTTTCGCATTTTCTGTCAAGTTAGAGACGCGTTCGTCTTGTTCGAAAGAAACGTCAACATTCAAGGGTTTACTTTTGAATTCTTTTTTTAATTTGTTCGGTTTTGTTTTATCTTCTCGTCTGTCATACTCTGAACCACCACCATGATAAAAACAGGCAAAAATCAGACAGAAGGAAAAGAAAATGACTCGATACGAGAGTCGAAAACTAAAGCCACGAACCATGTTGCAACTGCAAGTGTCGTTCAGCAACTGTGTATTATTTCGGCAAAACACAAAGTTTAAAAACGTTTTCAAGTTTGAGTTTTTTATGTGACCAGCTGTTCTACTGATCGCTTGAAACGCTATTAAGGTGGCTCGTGACAGATTTCAAATTAAAGTAGTTTGATATTTTGGGAAGTCAGTGTCCTAAGTATTGTAAAAAATCTCTTATGAGCAAGTACGTATGTTTTTATTTATGGATTAAAATGTTGTTGTTGTTGTTGTTGTTGTTGATACTCTTAAATTTCGTATTTTTAAACCGAGTTGTATGGGCGATATGGGTTGTATATATATTTAAACAGTGTATAGGATGTATACAGACAATTGAAAGCAGTGTTTGAAATTCAGTGTGGTTTTTTCATGAATACATTCACGTCAGTGGCGAGGTTGAGAAAATTTCAGTAGTAATGGTCTAAGACACGCACATTCTAGGGGGAAGGGCGTGGGGGGTCTTGCCCAGCATGGCCAACATGACCTCTAGCCTAGCCGCTGATTCAAGTAACACATGTTCCTTTTGAAAGAATATATTAGCATAGGATTCAACTCTATAAGTAGGAGACTGGGGGAATTTTGTCGCCCGAGATTATTTTAATATTTAGACCCTGAGAAAGCCCGAAATGCAACTAAAATTTTGCATTTAATTTTACTTTGCGTTATAAAAAAATTATATTACTTATAACAAATATTATGGGGGGGGGGGGGATGTAAAATATTACCAGGTTTGCTTTTAATAGGGCGTTTTTTATCTAAAGTTTCTTGTCGTTGGAAAACAAGAACGGTGACAACCCTAATTTTTTTCATGTATGTTTTCCTTCATCGGCAAAAGAAAGGCAAAATTTCGCCTCCCTCTTAATTTAAACTTCTTGGCAATCATCAAGCGACACGTACACATTGCGTGCATGGCATTATGTTAATAAGGCGTTTTTCATGCATGGGTATAAGTGTTCCACTCAACTTCAAAAGCTCCGTTGAATTTTTGTTGTGGGCAACCAAGTGCACTACATGTCTTCTTAATTAAAAAGGTTTTTTGTTGGGTTTAATATTCATAATAGTCGAAGACCTTTTTCACCTGCTTCACAGCCTTCAGACATTTGTCACGAATAGTTTTAAAGTAGCAGTGGAAGCATAACCTTCGGAACACTTGACACCACGTTCGCAAGGCAAATTTCAGTAAGGGTGACGCATGTGCAGACGTTTTTCCGGGGTGTTAAAGTGTATATGACATGAAATTTTTTATTTTCTTAAATGAAAGAACTCTTTAAGTTGCAGTATAACTTATTTTTCAGTTTCTTGTTTTCATGGTTTGTTCCCGATTATAAATGTATTAACTCTAAAAACTGTAGATATCAGTTCACGTTTTACCAGTGAGCGAAGTTTGAAATTATCATCTTGGATGATAGCAGTGATATTCAACCATTTTAAAGAGCTTGCAACCAACATGACGTCATAAATTAGCGGACAAATTCACACTCATTTACATATCAAACAAACTGAAATATCTCGGGAACAAACCATAAAAACAAGAAACTGAAAAATAAGTTGTACTACAGCTTAAAGAGTTCTTTCATTTAAGAAAATAAGAAATTTCATTTCATATACACTTTAAAACAATTAATTAGACCCCATGTAGCCACAAAAAGTAAAGGAATTAACTTGCCTGGGTTAGCTTAACCCTAGGTTAACCTAAAATTTAAAGCAAACTTTCCAACAGCTTGTTTATAAATTTGGAAATATTTCTTCAGAAATCTTGCCTGGATCAGTAAGAGTTTTCTTCTCTGGGGCCAGTTGTTCAAAGCTGGGTTAACTTAACCCTAAGTTAACCTAAAATTCAAAGCAAACATCCTGACAGCTTGTCTATAAATTTGGAAATATTTTTTCAGAGATCTTGTCTGGATCGATAGGAGTTTACTTCTCTGAAGCTTTGAAATAAACAGACGTACAGAAATACACAAACTAAAACAGCAGGCTAAATTTTAACCCACGATTAGCGCTAACCCACCCAGGGCTGCATAAAATATTTTATTTTCTGGGACCACAAAGCCAACAAAAATATTTTCTGCACACAAACACTGGGAATCTTATGTTTAAATTTGATAACTAAACAAAATTCAGTGTATTCTACGCACCATTTCATTAGATTTGAAACCAAAATAGGCGTATTTTACCTTGCTAGCAGTGGTTCTTATTGTGAACTGCATGTAGAATAAAAAGTCGTTCGATTAAAACTGACAGACAACAAATAAAACAGTACTATGCCACACTTGTTTATGTACAGATAACAAACTGTCAAACTACAGGAAATGAAGTCAAATTAGTGACGTACGTCCCACCACATGATCTTTGCACATGCTTGATAGAAAGTTGTTCGTTTGCTCGCAGTGGTTTCTACTCAGCTCCGAAACCACTGCCAGCAGAGTAGACGTATTTCAACATGGCTACGGAATAAATATTCTTTATATTCTAATTTAGCAACAAACATTTACATTTTAATGATGAAAGTGACCACTGGGAACTGTCTGCAGTTTAAGATTCTAGATTCTTATTAATTTTAATATATTTGTTATGAATATCATCTTAATTAATGGATGAAAGTTCATGAGAAGGGCAGGTGTTGTGTATTGGAACATATTGCTTAGATTTTTTCCATTGTAAGAAATCACCACACTTGTAGACTTTTTAATCCACATACTGTAGTTGTTAAATGAGTTGTATTCATATATAACTCGAGCGGTATTTTCAGAAGTAGCTAATACACTAGATGAAATCAATTATAACAACTGCATAGAGTATTTCGTCTTAATATCTGCTAGACTGCTGTCTGCCTGTCTTTGACCATAATATCAGGCTGCTGGAATGCCGCCTGTACCGGTATATTGGAAACTTGCATTACTTGCATGTTGCAAACATCACTAGTTCACTACCTACAGCTTATTATTCGATTATGTAATTTTTTTGTCATTTTCTCCCTTTCTGTTTTTCCTTTCTTTCTTTCTCTTTTTTTTCTTTTGAGACTTTTAAGTTTTACCCTCCATTTTTTTCCTGCCAACCTCAAAACTTTTCTGGGACCAATGGTCCTGCGGTCCGCTATATTATGCAGCCCTGGTCTGGTCCACATACTTCAGCCTGTTCAGGGTGTATTCATAAATGAAAATGAAAAGTTCGTCATAAGTCAACTTTTTGGCGTACTACGGAAGTATTAACCAATCAACATTCACTAAATTTTGTAATATAAAAATGTTTATATATTGATACGTTTGGGTACGGCATGCTTGAAGTGGAAAACTGGCTATACATATAGGTTAGAGTTATTGAATCTAAGTTTTGACTAGATTGTAGTCATCTTCAAGATTTTATCCTGAAGATGACGACAATATAGGTTAGGTAGTGTGGCATGACTTAACCTGCGAACGGGCATACTCGCGGAACGAGATTTGCTCCTGGGCAGTAGTTACCCGTGCCATGGAATTCGCTTCTGGTCCCTTCGGCGGTTTTACCCATGCCAGTTTTGTTGAACCTGTACCATTTTTGTGGCCCGCGTCTGTAAGATGATCCCTATTTTTAAGACACAAGGTTCATCGGCAAACTTTGAAAAACATAAGATCACGCTGGTAAAATATGTAACATGTCTCACCACTGCATAAATAGTTAGGCAAACCTCGTTTAGACAACGGCCAACTTTTACACGACAGTAGTCAGTATGGGAAAATATTTTCAATTGATCAAAATTGCCCCTCATTACTCATTAGCACATACATGGACCATTTGCATTATAGACTAAATTTTGATCTAGACAAAAATTTCATTACAGCTTGAAAGAGCATCACAAACTTAGTAATATTCCAAAGTTTTGTTCCAAAGTATCAACTACAATATAGAGCTACCTATACAACATGATAATTTGATATATTAGCCTAATGCTAAACTGACTATATGCCTCATAGCTACCTTTTTATGCTATTGGATTTTAATCTATCAATCTATTTATTTTATGTTTGAAAGGCATAGCTTAAAAAGTGGACGGGTATTCTGTTATTGCTTGCCCGCTAACGTTATTCAAGTCTTGTCGCCCCACCTATATGCGGCTACACATGCACAATATTGTGAGTTTGCTATATACGGGATACGGCATGTATAGCTCGTTCCTATACATATACCGCATAAAGATCAGTTGTCAGCCTATCTATGGGCTATGCGCATTAAGATCAGTTCGCTATATATAAAGTCCAATATATGCATTAAGTCAGTTTGCTAAAACACATAACTTGTTGTATTTGTGGTTAAACATTCCCATGTTACAATTAACAAATATAAGAAACATTTTCCGTGTTGATATATACAGTTATATCAACATGAGTGGGAATTTCGAGTTTTCCCAATTTCCACGAGTGTTGATATAACTGTGTATCATCTATATCAATACTCAAAAAATGTTATATATTTTTTTTATAATATAGCACAAAGAATTATAAAGAAAGAAATTTTCCGTGTTGACATTGAGTTATATCAACACGGCTCTTAACCAATCAGCGTTCAGAATTTACAAATGCTATATTATAATAGAAAATATCTATATAGCCAAGACGAAGTGCCCCCCCCTATAGTTGTTCAATTCACGTATACGCTATGTAAAAAGAACAACAGTCCTAATAATATATCAGCGTTATGCCTGCAGCATGTGGTTGTGGTGGTAACAAAACCACCGTAATTCCATGTATGTATTAGTTTAACATATGTTACGTTCTCGCGTTTTACAGAGACTCAATGAACAGAAGGAAGCCAATGACCAATTGCTGAAATCAATGGCAGTCATGTCAAAGTTGATGGAAAGTTTATAGCGTCTTTTTCTGCAAGACAATGCCGAAGGACCGAGGAAACGAAAAATAACTGTCGATGTAAAGGTATATTCTATAGAGTACATATAAATTAAGATATGTTTTAAGATATGATATCAGTTCTATATGCAT